TAGAAGTGCACAGACTGTAAAAAACACTGTTTTCAAGCATTTTTTTCTGTGTTTGAATAGACAGTAATCAGTGTTTAATGCATTTGTCGCAGTGGTGACCTGTAATGAAATCCTAGCTCCTGCAAAGGGTCATCTGACATGTGCTGATCCTTTGGGAAAGTACTCTTTTCGTTCTACTTGCAATATTTCCTGTGTTGAGGGACACAAATTGAGAGGAAAAGCCACACTCAGCTGTCTAAGTGATGGCAATTGGTCAGCACCAACATCTGATTGTGAAGGTACATAATTTCATACATGATTTCTCAGTGTCATACACTGAGTAAATACATATTTCCATCACAATGTGAGCTCTGGAAAATGCCAATATGCCCTAAGCGCACTGCAAAAAAAAAAAAAAACAATCATAAACAATGTGTTCTACACTCACACATACTCAATTAAGTCTATAATCTGTCTTGTCTGTACTATTCTCTTCTAATTTTGGCAGTTGTAAAGTGTGACCCATTGAAGCCCATTCCACATGGCTCCCTGCAATGTTATGACCCTGTGGAGAAGTTTGCTTATGGCTCCACTTGCTGGTTAAAATGTGATTTTGGTTTTGTCCACAATGGTACAAATTCCACTCACTGTACCGAACAGGGGAACTGGAGTTACATCCCTCCTGTTTGCCAAGGTAAAATGCATCTTTAACAATACATATACATACATACACATATCTTCAGTTCATACTGTAGTTCCAGCAAAATCAGTTTATGAAATGCTTCGGGTTTTTCCACAGCTATACAGTGTTCGCCTCTCTCTGATGCACCAAGTTATGGAAGTATGACCTGCACACACCCTCTCTCCACCAACAGCTACAATTCCAGCTGTGAGTTCAAGTGTGAAGAGGGTTTTGTGCTTAAAGGTGCAGATTCCACCCACTGTGACCATACTGGGCACTGGACACATAGCACCCCTATTTGTACAGGTTTGGCATCAGTTCATATAATTTTGATTGTCCTAATAGCATTAAACTATATGAAATGTCATTTATTAGTTTACCTATCATTAATTCACGTTTTATATTAC